TAAAAAATTTTAATGGAACACCCTATTTTTTATTTTTGCATCTAATAGATTGATAAATTGTCTATCTAAAAAAATAAACTTTTAATGTCTAGAATTGATAAATGAAAAGATATTTAACATTCAAAATTAATTGTAGCAACAATGATTATCAATATCTGAGCATTGTTGATACTATGGCAAACATAGTAATTCCACCACGGATTACTTATCCGTTGATTTATTCAGAAATTGTAAAAGTCATTAAAAATACTGAAATTCGAATTATTTTATTGTAAAAATGAAGAATAATGGATTCAGTTTAACACAAATGTGATTATTAAGTGATATTTCTTCCATCTCTTGTGCAACTGTGCACTTTTTGGCTACTGAAACAATAGTAATTATTTTTTTTTAAGTGTAACGTTTAATATCTTTTTAGTTATTGATTATAAACACCTAAAAGTAATAATTTTACAAAGACAATTTAATAATCTTTTAAATGCAAAAACAATAAATAGGGTGTTCCATTTAAATTTTTTAAGTTATTGAACTTTTAACAAACGCCTTCATTTTTTTATCTTTGCAAATGCAACACACTAAAAAAATGTTACAACCTTATAGCTTGTACCTTCTTCTTCGCGGTAGTAAAAAAAAATATTTCTAGCTGTCTTAGTTTTTGTGTAATAAATTTTTAAAAAGTGCATGTTTTCGTCAAAAAAAAATCTTATTTTTAAAACAAAGCAAAATTGACCCATAAAAGTTTACTTTAAAAACATTGTGGTAAAAATCTACATCCAAAAACGCCAAGAAACATATGGTGTTTCATTTAAAAAAACACAAGTTTGCATTGTAACTTATTTTTGGGACACGCTGTATAGTTGATTAGTATCTATCAATGTCCTATTATTTTTTTTTGAATTCTACTATTTAAAGGTCACTAATGGACTTTTTCAACTTGTCAAATAAACAAAAAAGTCAATCTTTTTTAAACACCCTGTATAAAAAATGTTGTTTTTGCACTTTCCGGTACGAACAAGAATAATGAAAGCGCACACACGCGTAGTTCCTTTTTCAATAAAACAAAACAAACCCGTATGTATTCAGTTTAGTGTGCAAAAAAATAATTTTAGACGGCTTTTGATGTCACTGGGGGTCTTTTCAACCCTCATAGTCCTAAATAATGGGATAAGAACAAAGCAAAAAAAAAAAATCTTGAATCTTACCACAGTTAAAATCCCCAATGAAACACATTTATATCGCAATTTTTCTCCACTTGGGTAAAAATTCTCGTTGAAAAGCGCACTGCACTTGACCATAAAATAAAAGAGTTTTTTGGTAAAATGGCAAATATTTGAACACCTCTTGAAGTTTAAAGAACGCGTGTTCGGCGCGAACTGTTGTAGAGACGCCGCGACGCTGCAAGTGGGGACGCTCACCCTCCAAAGCGACGCCGACGTTCTCCCCCTCTCGTGTTATTTCCGCTTCATCGCATATACCGACGCATCTAACACAATATGTAAATAATAGCGAAAAAATACAATTCCGGTATCTGTGAAATGATTTATCTGCTTTGTTTCCGGTTTATAGCAGTGTTGCCAAAGAAATAAAAAAAATCTGTCAAAAGTTTAGGTGTTTTGAGTGGTACAACTTTTTTCACATAACAGTTTAGTGATTTTGACTTGAAAAAAACAAAGTTTTTAGGGTAAAAATCCGGTTAAACTTTCGAAAAATGAAAAAATGACATTATTTTTGGTCTAATTTTGCTTGTTTTCAACAAAATTTTGCGTTTCTAGCTGAAAAACGTGTCAAAAAGTTCGAGAAAATAATTTTTTGACTTAATATCTTTAAAAACAGGGTAGAATTCTACAAATTTAGCGGTTTTAAAACCTGCCATCTAGCGGAAAATAATACAATCTAAAGAATTGAAGAGTAGACTCCTGTTTGCGACTAAACATAAGGGCCCTTCAAAAAATTTTTGAATTTTAGAATTCGTTTTGAAATTTTATTTTACAACTTGAAATTTTTATATTGCGAAATTTTTTGATGAAAACACAAAATCTTGTAAAAAAAAGTTCTCAGTTCCAGACATTTTTATAGTTTAATAAAAGCATTGCAAAATTAAAAAAAAATAAATAAAAATATTTAGAAATAAAAAATTACTTCGGTATCTTCAGTACGACGCTCTAAATTAAGGTATCTAAATTAATAAAAAATAAACAAACCAAAAAAGGAAAAAAATAAATATAA